TGTGTGTCTCTGTATGTGTGTGTGTGTGTGTGTGTGTCTCTGTGTGTGTGTGTGTGTCTCTGTATGTGTCTGTGTGTGTGTGTGTCTGTGTGTGTGTGTCTCTGTGTGTGTGTGTGTGTGTGTGTCTCTGTTTGTGTCTCTGTGTGTGTGTGTCTCTGTGTGTGTGTGTGTGTGTGTATGTCTCTGTATGTGTGTGTGTGTGTGTGTGTGTCTCTCTATGTGTGTGTGTGTGTGTGTGTGTGTGTCTCTGTGTGTGTCTCTGTGTGTGTCTCTGTGTGTGTGTGTGTGTAGGAGGCGTACTCCGTAGCGAGGCAGTTTAATCTGGTTCCTCCGGTGTGTGAGCAGGCGGAGTATCACTACTTCCAGAGAGATAAAGTGGAAGTGCAGCTCCCAGAACTCTACCATAAAATCGGTAACACCAACACACGACACCTCCTGCTGTAAAAACACAGAGCACCAGATTTACGTGCGGGTTCAAACCGCACCTTCATGAACCTGCGGCTCACAGCGCACCTTCATGAACCTGCGGCTCAAAACGCACCTTCGTGAACCTGCGGCTCAAACCGCACCTTCGTGAACCTGCGGCTCAAACCGCACCTTCGTGAACCTGCGGCTCAAAACGCACCTTCGTGAACCTGCGGCTCAAACCACACCTTCATGAACAGAATTCCTCTGGTCCAGCTCTTTAGCATCCAGAGTACAATCAGGAACACAGGCAGAACAAGGGAGCTAAAGAAATGTTGCTTTTTATCCGCCATCCAAACTAACGCTACACCCATGTGTTAATGACAGGCTTCCCATACAAAAATAAATAGTAAAGTTCAAGTATATTTCCTAAGGATACTTTACGTAGTAAGTATACTAATATCTGTGTACTAGCAGTTTACTTGTAAGTGTACTATTTCAGTACTTCTTGGGATTAAATTGGCCTACTTTAGTGTACAAATGTGTACTTTTCAGTACTCTTTAGCTGTAAGAAGAGTAAACTTTGTCAACACAACTAGTTTACATTTACGTATATATAGTATATAGTATATAAATAAGTATGTACAAGTATGTGTGTGTACAAGTATAAGTATAAGTACAGGCCAAATCTACTTAAACCTTTCTGCATGCTCGTCAGTATAAGCCAAGAATACTTACATATAATTTTGTATAATAATATATTTGATAGGTAGATAAAAAGCTGAGAGCTCACACACTGATATATAGTTTAAAAGAAGAAACCAAAACATTGAACTGGGGTGAAATATTGCTTGTTCTGTGCTGCGTCTTCTCTCTCGTACATCTGATCCGGAGAGTTTAAACCGTGTTCTTCTGGTGCTAAATGTGCTTTCAGCTCATGTTTGAGGCTTCGGTCTCTGTTTGGCTACAAAAGCTGCTGTTAATGTCTCCCAACAGCAAGTCTGACACCACTGTGCATCTGCTTTTAAAAGGGGAACAAAATAGGTGCCAGACTGGCAGCCGCGGCTCAAACTGTCATAAATCGTGCTGAACATGTAGGCAGCCAGATGTGTAATAGCTCCACCCACTTTCTCTAAGATCTTCCCTCAAATCCACATCAACGCTGTGCAAAGAAAAACAAGCATCTCTAATGAATGGTAACTTTACAGGAGAGGGAGAAAACGATCTTAACTTCAACGTAAGTTAATGTAAGGAGATTCTATTACAAGCAGTTTTGGAGCCTTTCTGCTGTTTTATGCATCATGAAGTTTTCTCACAACGTAAAGACCAGCTGCTGAGCTCAATGTCAAAAAATAAAAATGGCAAAAACTGGAAATGCTTGTTGTTTTTGGTCAGTGATGATATGCATGAGAACAAGAAGTGTATTCATTACACACACGGCCCATAACTGTGAGATCATGTGGTCAGAATGCGTCTGGAGCTGCAGTGGAGCTCTCGGTGCAGTGACCCTGTAGAGTCTCCAGTCTCAGGTGTGACTGAGTGTCTGTATGCAGGTGTAGGAGTGATGACCTGGTCTCCTTTAGCCTGCGGCCTGATCACAGGGAAATACTGCGACGGAGTGCCGGACACGTCCCGCGCCGCTCTGAAGGTCAGTGTGAAATACAGAACTGTATAGACTGCACTGTCAGGAATAAGAGTTCTGTAGAGGTACATTTTTGTTCTTCAAGGTACAAACAGTGTAAATGTAGCCTCAGAGGTTCAACAGTGGTTCCAGCTGTCCACCTTAAACAATCTTTTCACAGAGGAAATGTGTGCATTATCTTAGCTTATCGTAACTACTGACATAACTCTACATAAATGTTCGTAGAGCTTCACTGGAAGAGATCAGACTAAAAACACTGACCTTTTAGTACGAACACCTCAACATCATGAACTCCACACACCTGCTTCAGTTTAAATAGAGAGAGAGGTCTTTCTCTTGTTTATTTTCAGGATTCATTTAAAACATTCCCAGATTTTTAAAGTTCTATGAGACTTCTGGACCCCACTGCGTCGGCCTGTTTATACCCTGCAGTAACGTGTTTTTGGTGATCAGATCACATTTGGATTTCACTGCATGAAAAGCCAGATGTGAACAAACCCCAGGACGCCCTGTGAGCGCATAATGATCAGATCACTCAAACCACATTCGGAGGACCAGAGACGGATCTGACCGCATTTAACACAAACATAAACAGAACGTGATTTTAATATCTGTATACCATGACGTGAAGGAGATGCTGGCAGGTGAAAGTGAAAACAGAGTCTGTCTAAAGTTTATCCAGATATGATCCGGACGCGAAATGCAAGATGTAATCAGGCTCTGACAGTGGTGTGTGTGTGTGTGTGTGTGTCTGCAGGGGTACGAGTGGCTGAAGGAGAAGGTTCAGAGTGATGAAGGTCGGAGGCAGATGATGAAGATTAAGGAGATAAACACTGTGGCAGAGCGACTGGGCTGCACCGCCGCTCAGCTCGCTATAGGTACATAAACACACCTCATACATAACCACCTTCTGAACGTCGTCAGGGTCAAAATACATCAATAAATCGAAAATGCGAGACAGATGTCATTTTTATTTATTTACTGTTGCCTCAAGCTTTACAGCACGAGGCAACAGTCTTCTTCAAACTGAACGTAAGTTGATGTAAAGAGCTTTTACTCCAGTCATTTTAGAGCCTTTCTGTTCTAAAATGGATGAATGACAGCTGCTGAGCTCAAAGTGGAGATTAAGGGTTTTACACAGCGATGATTTCCTCTGAGCTCACAGTGATGACTGAGGGACAGTTTATCAAACTGCAAACAAACCTGGTTCTGTTCTTCGTACCACAGAGGAGGCGGCTGATTGGGCTTCTTATTGATCAGACCAATCAATTATGTAATATCAAAGTTTAAAGTTTATAACTTCCCCTTTAACTTACACGGTGGAACATTGTGTATTAGCATATTGGACTGTTGTGATGTCATCAGTGTACCTACACCACTTATGGGCTACTGTGATGTCATCAGTGCCGCCTGTATCTTATAGACTACCATGATGTCATTAGTGCAGACTGCCATTTATGAGTCATGGTGATGTCATCAGCGTAGCCTGCTGGAGTTGTATTGGTTATTCAGTAAGAGTACGCCAGTGACAAACAATATACGGGTTCCAGCTACCACATCTGTTTCGACTGTGCTCCATCATGCTATGCAATATATGGGCTACAGGAAAAAGCTGGATGTGGCCCAGATTACAGCCATATTAAATTCACTGTCCAGACAGGAACAGGAACTAATCCTCACCTTTCATGCAGGCATTCTTTCCTCATCTTTCTCTCTTTCTTAGTTCTTTATTTACCTCCATCATTTCTCCACTCTTAATTCAATCTATTCTATCAGGATTTCAGTCATTAGAAACTTTCTGAAGCTCTGATTTCCCCCTCCCGCCTTCAGCATGGTGCATGAGGAGTGAGGGAGTGAGCTGTGTTCTGCTCGGCGTTTCAGGCACAGAACAGTTACTCGAGAACCTCGGAGCCATCAAGGTAACACACATATACTTAGAGCATATCCACATGTGTTCATACAGGTGTTAACGCTTCTCTCTCTCTCTCTCTCTCTCTCTGTCAGGTTCTGTCTCTTTTAACTCCTGACCTCGTTGCGCAGATGGACTCTGTTCTGGGAAACACGCCACAGTCCAAGAAAGAAACACGCCGCTAAAAGAGAGAGAGAGAGAGAGAGAGAGAGAGAGAGAGAGAGAGAGAGAGAGAGAGAAAGATAGAGAGGGAGAGGGAGAGAGAGAGAAAGAGAGAGAGAGAGGAATAGAGAGAGAAATTTCATCAGGGAGGAGAGAGACTCAGTCTTCTCCTTTAAACTAACTTCACTGTGATAATATAAGAGCTTACAGTAATATATGTGTATCTGTTTATTATGATCATCCAGACATCATCACATTTATGCAAATTATTTATGTTTACGGCGTTTAGTAGACACTCTTATCCAGGGCGACTTACGGAAGGGCTTTGTTGTCCACTCTGAGAATGTACCCTTCAGCTCAAACACTGCCCGAAAACAAAAGCCAGAGCCGAAACACAAAAAGATACAGAGTTAAACACAACACACGAGCAACACATACATTTCAATAGGTACTAAACTCAGTGCTCACTTAAGTGCTCCACAAAGAGACGGTCTTCAGTCTGTGTTTGAAGACCACGAGAGACTCTGCTGTTCGGACAGCCAGTGGAATTGGTTCCACCACCTGGACTCCAGGACAGAGGAGTCCAGATGCTCCTCTTCCACACGTCTTGAAGGATGGCGAGTCGAGCTGAGCTGTACTTGAAGCTCGAAGGGTTCGAGGTACAGTTCGAGTTTTGACCATTCCCATCAAGTAGGGAGGGGCTGGACCGTATTCAGCTTTGTAGGCATCAGGGTTTTAAATCTGTGGAGTGGAGTGACGTGACTGAACCGTGCTGCTGTATTCTGGATCAGCTGAATAGCCTGATGTCCTGCATAGGAAGACCAGCTTGGAGTGAGCAGCAGTAGTCAAGTCTTGAGATGACCAGAGACTGAACGAGCACCTGGGTGACCTCCCTGGAGAGAAAGGGTCAAATCCTCCTGATGTTGTGCAGGAGAAACCTGCATGACCGAGTCAGGTCCACAGTATCATAGATCCACAAACACTAACCCTTTAACAGTCGAGCAGATATGCATTCAACTGTAGAAATGTATTAAACCTCAGAGGAACCTTCAAAGGAATGCTTTGACCAAATATGCTAATGCAGCTAACAGTGGCTGAATGCTAGGAGGCCCTTTAGCACTGTGTGTGTAAGTTCATTCTAACTAGCCCTGCTAGCATGCAGTAACTCTTAGTCATGATACTGGCTCTTTTAAGCAAAGCAACCCTGCCCCCTAGTGGATAATGTGTGTGCATGAGACTACACTGTAAGTGTACCAAACCTCAGAGGAACCTGTAAGGGTGCAGTCTGAATAAAACATGTTAATGTGGCTAACAGTGGCTGAGGGCCATTTGCTGATACAAGAACTGTTAGCCATGTTGACATTTCTATGCAAAAAGATGAATAAAACAAAGAAACAAAAAACAAATATCTGAATGAATGGATACTATACATGTGTAAAACCTGTAAATGTGTAGAATCTCTATGTAAGCAGCCTGACTAAAATACGCTAATATGGCCAGCAGTGGCTAAATGCTAGGAGGTCTGTAAGCATTGCATGGAGCTGCAGAGAGATCATGCTAATTAGTTCTGCTAGCATGCAAGTCACGTTATTGTTATAGATATTGTAGGTTGTTTTAGATTCATTGATACTACTGAAAAATACTGCCCTCTAGTGGATAGTGTGTGTAGATGTAGGTAGTTGTAGGCTTTGGGCTGTGGGTGAAGGTTTGCACCACTTACTGTTTACACAGGCTGTAACATACCATGCTAATAATGCCACATGCTAAAAACATGCTAGGCTCAAACTGCACTCTGGAAATGTTAGCATTATGAAGAAGTTGAGATAAGTTGATTGGTGATGGGGTACCTTCGGCCCCACTTCAGAAAACATGAGACACTTTCAAACGAGCTAAGTTACAGCTCTACAGTGAATCGGAAATGGTTACGCGTCCACTTGCATGAATAAAAAACACAGTTTTACAATTGTGAAAATTAAAAGTCATTACATGGAAAAACGAAGGAATCCTGAAGATTCTGCACTATTTCTTAATCATTATTTTAACTTTGTGATATTGACCGTATTTAAGGCCTTTGAACAAAAAGGTCGGAATTTTTTAGTCTGATATCTTCCAGTGAAGCTTGTGTTCCAATGACTTTCATGTGGATTTGATCTGCTCATTAGAGGCTTTTGCGCAAACTTGTGGAGCTCAAGCATCTTTAAAGTAAAAGAGGGACAAACTAAGAATACTAAGAAGTTCTGAAATTCGTGTTAAAATTTGGTAAGATTCTACTTTTCGCTCAGATTGTCATGCTGGTAATATAATTTGAAGTAAAAAATGTATTAAAGTAATATAAAATAGCAGCATTTTCACCTGCGCTCTCAGACTGTTGGACTATGTATCTTATATTCTGAGTGATGTGCTAGTGAAGTGCAGCGTTAGCTGAATGTTCCCTGTGTGTGTTTAATATCTGATGGGGTACACTGAGAGCTCAGAGTCTGAACATTACAGTTGTATTGAATCCTGTAGCTGAACCTGCATGACAATAAAAACTGGACTGAGATGAAAATTCTTGTCCCAGTGCTTATTTATCCCTCTGTAACCAGAGAAGCCAGAGGTCGATCATTCATGCTCAGATAGGTAAGATCCTCTGCCGGATTATGTTCCAACAGCTTCCTTAAACCTGAAAGTTCACACCTCTGCTGATGGTTTGAGCTGATCCCCTGGTTCCCAGAGTGAGTCCTGGAGAAGTTGTGCTCAGGTATAACTCAACACGACACAACAGAGCTTCCTCACAACTGAAATAGATAAATTACACCAGATCTAGTAAGTGTGGAAAGAGGAAGTTGCATCGCTAACAATCACCTGTACACATACTCACATGATATACATTTTGCATTTACAGCATTTGACAGACACTCGTACTCAGTGACTTACAATGTGATCATTTTACACAGGGAGGTGAAAGTAGTGTTAGGAGTCTTGCCCAAGGACTCATATTGGTATATTGGTTTACCCAGGCAGGGACTGAACCACAGTCTACAACGTAGAAGGCAGAGGTGTTACCCACTACACTAAACCCACCACATGTTCTGCATCCTGAAACTCTAAACATTTTTAATGAAGGTGTATACACACCCCACCATGGCCAGTCAGCTGCTAACTCTCTCTCCATAGCGCCGCTGATGCTTCAATGTCAGTAACTGTTTGTTTATCAGCTGTTCTTCAGTAAAGTCTCTGTTCTAGTGCGGTTCTGCGCTCTTCCTCACAGTAACTGAGATCTTCCTCGTCTCCTCTTCTGTAGAGTCTCTGTTCTAGTGCGGTTCTGCGCTCTTCCTCACAGTAACCGAGATCTTCCTCGTCTCCTCTTCTGTAGAGTCTCTGTTCTAGTGCGGTTCTGCGCTCTTCCTCACATTAACTGAGATCTTCCTCGTCTCCTCTTCTGTAGAGTCTCTGTTCTAGTGCGGTTCTGCGCTCTTCCTCACATTAACTGAGATCTTCCTCGTCTCCTCTTCTGTAGAGTCTCTGTTCTAGTGCGGTTCTGCGCTTTTCCTCACACTAACTGAGATCTTCCTCGTCTCCTCTTCTGTAGAGTCTCTGTTCTAGTGAGGTTCTGCGCTCTTCCTCACACTAACTGAGATCTTCCTCGTCTCCTCTTCTGTCTTCAGTGTGTGAAATGAGGAACAGTCACTCTTCACTCCAAACTCTTGGGAAACTGGGCGAGTTTTCAGATTTACAGATCTGCTGCAGCTCATTGTAAAGTGTTTCAGAGGAATCCGGGCAGAGTTACAGTTTCTAGGCTATGAAGGACCAACTGGGTGAACCAGTCTGCTACAGCGCCACCCTGAGGCAGAGCAGTGCTGCAGCTCTAGTTAGTTAAAAACACCAAAGACAGAAGCTGATTGTGGGGGAAGCAGATAAACAATGGCTTCACAGACATTCAGGGGGCCCAATAGATTAATTGGAGATCCCAGACCCCCTGTATTTCATGCCTTGATCTCTCCATTTATACATTAACCTAAACCCAGATCCAGGCCACTAAAAGCCATAGACGGTCAAGGTTTGAAATTTACACAAACAGGATAGTCAATTTAAACATTAATCTTCTAACCTCATTCACATTTCCACATCATATCTTCATAAAGAGTGAATTAGCTGATACCAAACATGATAAATCCATTCAATATATTAAAATTGTTATACCTAAAGTCAGTGGTGGACGAAGTACACAAGTCATGTACTTGCGTTAAAGTAGAGATACCCAAGGTAAAATATTACTCCAGTAAAAGTTCCTCCCTTTAGACCTCCACTTGAGTAAAAGTACAAAAGTATTTGCCTTCAAATGTACTTAAGTATCAAAAGTAAAAGTACTAAAAGATTAATTATGACTGATGTCCTATTATCAGTTTTATAACAAGACTCTGTTTCATTCCACCTTCTGCTATTGCGGACGCTGCATGTGACGTCATCCACTTGACCATCGCGAAGGTGCAAAACCAGAGCTCTAGTGCATTCATCGCAGTGTCTGGGGACTTCAATCATGTTACCCTCTCATCATGTCTGCCCACTTTCAACCAGTTTGTGGACTGCAAGGTGTGACAAAGTCTCTGCTGAACCAGAAGAAAAGAGCATTTATGGCAGGAAACAGGGAGGAACTGAAGAGGTACAAAAAGAGCTCAAAACCTCAAATAAAAATGGCCAAAAAAGGAGTACAGCTCCAAGCTGAAAAACAAACTAGAGCTGAATAACACGTGATGTGTGGAGAGGCCTAAAAGACATCACTGGCTCCAACCAAGGCAGCCCTATTCCAGCAGAGGGAAAGCGTGAATGGGCGAATGAGTTAAACCAGTTCTTTGTGCGGTTTGACGATGGCTCCTCTCCTGATCTACTGTGACCATCAGCAACCACTGTCTGCAATGGACACATCTCACCCTCCCCCCAGAACTGGAATGTCCAGTGATTATACATTCATTGCTAATCAGGTGAAGATTGAACTGAACAAACTCAAGCAGAGCGAAGCAGCGGGACCTGATGGCATTGAACCCAGGGTGCTGAAACTGTGCGCGGAGCAGCTGTGTGGAATTCTTCAGCACATCTTCAGTCTGAGCTGCAGCCTGAAGAGAGTCCCAGTTATGTGGAAATCATCTTGTGTGGTTTCTGTCCCCAAGAAAAGACAACCGACAGCACTGAATGATTACCGACTGGTTGCACTGACATCCCACTTAATGAAGACACTTGAAAGGCTGATGCTCATCTGAGACCTCAAAACAGCTCTTGACCCTCTACAGTTTGCAAATCAGGATGGCATTGGAGTGGATGATGCAGTTTTCTACCTGCTGGACAGAACATACTCTCACCTGGACACATCAGGCAGCACTGTGAGGATCATGTTCTTCGATTTCTCCAGTGCATTCAACACCATACAGCCTGTGCTTTTAGGGGAGAAGCTACGGCTGATGCAGGTGGATGAATCCATCATCTCATGGGTAATGGACTATCTGACTGGACGACCCCAGTATGTGCGACTGCAGGGCTGTGTCTCAGACAAGGCTGTGTGCAGTGTTGGGGCCCCCAGGGGACTGTGTTAGCTCCATTCCTGTTCAATCTGTACACCTCTGACTTCAGGTACAACACAGAGTCGTGTTATCTGCAAAAATTCTCTGATGACACGGCCATTGTGGGGTGCATGAGGAACGGACAGGAAGAGGAATACAGGAAGCTGGTGAAAGACTTTGTTGACTGGTGTAAGCTGAACCAGCTGCAGCTAAACATCAGTAAGACTAAGGAGACGGTGCTGGACTTTAGGAATTCCAAACCTGCCTTGTCACCAGAACAGAGGATGCTCAACAAGCTGTTAGCCATCTTGGACAACACCTGCATGTTACACTGGATAAACAGAGAAGCCTAATCAGTGCAGACTGTTACAGCTGCGCTGTGTTAAAGAGCCGTGTGAGATCTTTCTTACCCACTGATATACAGCTCTACAGCGAGTCTCCTTACTGCAGAGACGGCACTGATCTCCTGCTGTGTGAACTGAGCTGAACCACATCACTATATTAGCTCTCCTGTTAATACAGACTGTGCAATATGTCACAACTATTACTGTAATGACACTTTGACTATGCACTTTACACTATAATATTGATACTAACTCAGAGTTAGTTATGTCCATAATATGTGCTTTTAGTTTACCTCATACCACTCAGTGCCTGCTGTCATGTAAATACAACAAATCTGTCTCATATGCCATGTAACTATATACATAAATATACTTTATTTTTTTTCTCTTGTACTTTAACTCATCTAGATTTATGTCTATTTTCCTGCATAGTATATGTAAGTGTATGTGCAATTATATGTCTTGCTACTGAAACACTGCAATTTCCCTCTGGGATCAATAAAGTTCTATCTACCTGTCTTACTCCAGTGTCACTCTTGGTAAACCAATCTTTTAACAGAATGTCATTAATAAAAAAATAAGCACAAAACACTGAAGGCAAATCATTTCCATTAGGTAGAACCAAGTGGCTCTGAAATCACTTTTTACAAAGATTTTAGTTACAAGTTTAAGTTTAATAAAAACTTGCTTTAAACTCAGATTCACAAATTAGTTTCCTTTACTAAACTGCATCTGTAGGTCTCTGTTCATAAACATACTAGACAAAACTAATTTACTATAAAATGAAAGTGTTTGTATAAATTCAGAATAAAGACACATCAGTCACAACTGCATATGTGTACATATTTCTATATTGTGGTCTGTTTACACAAAGTTAGGTTAGTTCATCATTTATGTTGAATAGACTCTCCCAAAATTTTATACTGCTGCACTGATGTTGAACCGTGTGCTGCACTGGGTCGGTATGACCAACAGGTCAAAACAAGCTCAAAACAAAGTGACCGCTGTGCCCTGATTGGTGTTCTTGCGTCGCTCTTCTTTCGTTTTGACATGTTTTTATACACACAAACTAAAAGGAAAGACAGATTTTTCACATAAGATATGACTTTGAAATGTAGTGGAGCAAAAGTAAAAAGTCACTCAAAATGGAAGACCTCCTTAGGTACAGTAACCAGTTACATTGACTTACTGTCCACCACTGCTTAAAGTTTACATCAAAACTAAGACAGAATATAAAATGTAAACACATCCTGAACTTGAGCTTGAAGCTCTGCCATACAAGCAGAGTTTACTTTAAATCTCTGCACATCACCAAAATGGCTAAGGTTTGCTTGCCGAGGGTAAAGTGATCTTTTCCCCATTAAGACACTGCAGAACTGTTCCAGCTAAACAATAAACGTATTCTCTTCTCTTGGTTGAAAGGTTTTTAATAAATGTGATGAATGCAGCATAACCGGACCACTAGTGGGAACCATATAACCTGTTATACCAGAGGTCCTCAAATACAGTTTCTGGGCTTGTAGTCCACTAAAGAGTTGGACAAACTTAATACAATTAGTCATCATACCTACCAGCAAATACAATAATCAGGAACTGGATTCAAGGTCTGGAAGTGAAAACCTCTCATCACCATCAAATTAGGTCACCTACAGATAAGGTCATCTCACAAGAATGAAAGCTTGACAGCCTGTTAGCGTCAAACAGCCCCAGGTAGATTCTTCTGTATGCATTGGATAAAGACTACACAAGCCACAGCAACATTCAAGAGAACCGAGTTTTATTCAGGGATGAAGAATCCAGGAGGCTTTGAACTGGTGGAGTCTGTGAGGTCATGCACAGATCGACCGCCACACATGCTCAGACGCTGCAGAATTATGGGACATTGACACTCACTTGGACAGCCACAATCCCCTGGAACAGTCAGGCAAAGTAAAACCCTTCACTCCTTTAGAAGGTTGAGGCTCTGATAACTTCAAATAGAAACAGCCTTTCTTCAAGTGTAGATGTTTCTCACCACAGATGATTGAGCAGGACAAACCCTAATCAATGCTGGAGCACCAAATCCAGAAGAGCTAAACCCTTCAAGTCCTTAAAAGATTAAGACTTCCAACTTCAGAGGGAAGGAGCCATTGCTCAAGCTTAGGTGTTCCTTACTGTAGATGCTGAAGCTCCAGCACAGATCAGGGTTAATCCTGCTCCAACAAGAGCAACACAGTTCACGGAGAGTTGGATCAGCAGAACCACTGAACTCTGGCAGTGCTGCTGCTCCAGACCTGGCAGTGAGGAACCCAGCCTGAAGTCTCACTTTACCTTCACATTTTCTCCTCATGTCAGCACTACTACCTCTGCAGAATCCCCAGAGCCTGAACCTTCATCTCCATCACCCTGGAACAGCTGTTTTGCTTCACCTTTGCTCTCTGGACAGAAAGATTTAAGACAAGATCAACATGGTGCCAAGGCCAGGTTACCAAACACCACCAAAACTATCCTACAGGCAAAGTATTCTTACTGCAGTGCTCAGGTACTGCAGAGAAACACTCTATAGAACATGGGTGTCCAATCCTGGTCTAGGAGGTCTACTACCCTGTAGTTCAGACCCGACACACCATGTTGCAATATTCAAATGCACTTGAAGGCCTTCTTTAGCTGGATCAGGTGTGATAGATTAGGACTGGAGCCATACTCCACAGGGTGGTAGATCTCCAGGACCAGGATTGGGCACCCCTGCCTTAAAACATCCAGTTTCTATATTCACAGAGGCTAAGACTCAATTTTCAGTTCAACCATAAGACAGTATAACAGCTGCAATAATAGCCCAGTAAACAGTGAAAGTGCCCAAACCTCTGCCTCAGCCGGGCTAAGATGAGCCCCTCTGCACGTGCCTGCTCATGCTCAGCCAGAGACCCAAACACTGCAACAAGAGAGGATCAGCCAAACTACTCAACATACAGACCAGCAACATACCAGAACCTCAGAGGGGAACTCACCATTAGAGACAAGCACAATCAGAAGAAATCCCACAATGACTCTCTGGGGAACCATACTGAAGACCAACAGCTACCCAGCCTAAAGAGAACCACTCTACACTGCAGTGCAGAAGGGTCTTTAAATAGCAGCAGTGATGGAGCTCAGGTGTGCACCTCACCTGGACATCATTAAGAAGGTTGGCCCGAAAGCTGATCTGACACTCTAATCAGCCAACTGCTGGGCAATCAGTGGTTTCACCAAAACATCTCAGACAACTGTACAGTTATTAGATCAGCTGCAGTTTGTAATCAGTTTCCTAGACAGGGATTAAGCCTAGTCCTGGACTATATTCTCCTTTCAGTCAACACAATTCAAAAGCCTGTGTAATGTAGAATCAAGCTTAATGCTTGTTTGGGATACCAACTCTAAGGGGCTATTGCTCTGTCATTAGCTTAGCACCAGTACAGTCTCAGTTATCACAGGTTTGGCAAACTGGTAATTTAAGGGGTTTAACATGCAGCTGTGGGTAAAATTAAACCTGATTTATCTGTCAAAACAAGCAGATCCACCTGATCCACCACTAAATAGCCACTAAGCTGGATGCAGTGTAAACTTAAGTCATGATTAGCCCAGCCAAAACGAAACACTACATAATAGAAACACATTTCACTATTTAAAGTCTTTCATTTCAAGTTTATCAGATGCTCCATACATTATGACATTTCATGCTATATGTATAATTAAAGGTCTTCCTTCAGTTCATTTACACTTACAGCACACAATAGCTGCCTATTTTATTTCAGGCCTAATCTACCACAGCAATGTAAGGCCGTGTTCAGACTGCAGGCAAACTAGATTTGGTTCTCAAATCAGTTCTTTTTAGGTCGTCTGTCTGCTCTGTTATTTGCAAGTGATCAGACCGGATTTGTGCATCTAGACATCACCAGTCTATCTGCATGGGTTGCCATTGGTAACAACGTAGGCGTCAGTAACTACGTAGCTATGCTGGTGATGCGGATTTCAAACGCAGATGCAGGAGAGATGGAGGAGCATCATCTCACCCTCCAAACTCTTCAGAACTCTCTTCTTAATAATGAATCTTTGGAGCTCTTCTTGAATCCCAGTTTTTCAACATTGTTGTTTGTTCTGTTGTAGGCTATGCAAAAGGCTCACTGACATCCGATTTCAGCGACTAGAGCGCCCAGACTGAAACACATCTGTAAAAATGTAAAACCTCCAAATGTGATTTGGATCCGATTCACAAAATTGATTTTGTGTGGTATTTTGCTGTCCGGAATATCAAAAATCAGTCTAGATACAATCTGGATGCAACAGAAATCAGATTTGGGCTGGCAGTCTGAACAAGGCCTTAGTTACACAAAGTCTTTGTGTGCTTTTTTTTTTTCTGAAGGACACTGGATTGAATGACTAGAGGTAGGGTTTACAGGTGAGTGGTACTCGCTGAGCAAGGCTACCCCCTGCACTGGTGCCTGTTGACACTTCAAAGATCCACTTGACCAGAAGCCTCTAGCGTGGTGCCGTATTGAACAGGCTTTCTCAAAGAGCCACTCTGCGTCCCACACTCATACTCATTTGCACAACTGGAACGCTTTAGTACCGCACACTGACCCCAGACTGCAAATCAGTTTGAATTGTTCAAATTAAGATGAACACTATGGCATTACATTTCCCTATTGAGTCAATAACAGGAACAACCTAAATATAGAACATCTTAGCTTCTAAGAACAGTACATTGTGAAAATCCTAAAATTAATCAAGGCTGCAGCAGTTAACAATTGCTGTAGTTCAGTATGGTATCTCATTGTGCGTTTAATTAAGCACTGTGGCATTTAATTAGAACATGCCATGAGGTGTACAGGACTTTGACAGAAGGTATATGAGCCTATGTATGGGATATTAAAGAAAACTGAGCAGAAAAGTCACTTCTGTTACAGTCATTGTGCCTTCAATCTCAGCAAAAACATGCCTTCAGTGGGTTTAAGATCAAACTCAGTTAATCCAGAGATAGTGGTATCCAGTGGCAGATGTGTTGGCTTTAGTTTAAGCCGCAGCTTCAGAGGACACAGCAAAGGTGTTTAAGAACTCACATGACCCTCTCAGGCTTAAACTCAGGTTAAACTCTAAACCAAAGTTAATAAGAGTGAAATTGCCTCAAAGAGCTTACAGCTGAAGAACTCTGATTCCCACAGCCAGTCCTGGAGAACCCATGAGCTTAATTCAGGGGACCTGGAGATCTACCACCCCAAAGACTTCATATGTAATTTCTGGCTCTCCTGAAGGCCTGCATTACCTGACGCAAAACTCTGCAGGGTGGCACAGCTCTAGGACCAGGAATGAGCACCCCTGTCTTCCTTGATGAGCTGAATCTGATTCTGTTCTGGATGAGGGAAAACTAGTGATTCATCAAGAAGTGACTTTGGTAACTTCTGAGCCAGTCAAAGACACCCGGCAGCTGGAAGACAATCCTGGTGAGAACTTTGATATTTGGAACCTAAATCTTACACTCCAGTGGTCAACAGTCCTGCACCTGGATGTCTACCTTTCTTCCTCACTTTAGCTCCAACCTTAATCTACTGAACATGACCCATTTAATTGAATATTCAAAAGTCCCTGATTAGCTGAAAGAGGGGTTAGTTTCAAGTTGAATGTGAAATACAACAGAACATAGATCTTCAGGTAACCACTGCTCAAACAAAATCATTTTACACCAAGACAGTGTGCTGTAATTTGCTTATTCAGTACACTGGGTGACTTGGCCATGGCTAGCCAATAACACTGTTTACTATATTCCTGAAAACTATCAGCACCATATTTCCATCCATCGCCCTGCTGAAAGTCTGGCTCTTTGGGCCTCAGCCTGGAAGCTTAAGTTAACACAGGGGTGCTCAATCCTGGTCCTTAAGATCTGATACTGTTCTCCACTATGATCTGTTCTATCCAATATGGTCGATCTCCAAGACTAGGATCACAGACTCCATGCTCCACATACAGTTGTGGATGGAACAGGTAACTTCCCAGGAGAAGGGCATACAAAACACAATGAGTAACAAATTTTCAAATTAAAAGAAACAAACACAAGAACTCATACTTGACACACCCAACCCAGTACACAAAAAGCTTGTTAAGCTCAACCTAATTAATAAGAATTTAGGTAGTGTGAGATGAAAACATCAACAGCCAGTGTTCAACTATGGCCATGGAGAGCCATTTTCCTGCAGGGTCTAGTTCCAACCACAGTCTAAAACCTACTCCAGCTAAGTAACTTCTTCATAGGACAGTGACTGGCTGAATCTGATGCATCAATGTTCAAGCCCAGTATGTTAGATGCAATTTGGAATTCAACTCTGCAGGAAGGTAGGCCTCCAGGACAAAGGTTGTGACCCCTGGTCTACATTCATGACCACTACCCAAGAATAAAAGTCAGAGCTGGACTGACAGCACAGCCTCAAGACGGCCCAAACAAGCACCAATTCTTGCAGGCTCCAATTAGAAATAAAAAAAAGCCACAGCAATTCAGGAAAACATTTATTCCAAGACAGAGAAGCAGTGAGGCATGCAGTTGGAGCCAGATGCTCAGATGCTGCAGGGTTATGGGATGTTGACAAATTCACTTGGACAGCTGCTTTCCCTGGAACAGCAAGACAAAGCAAAACTTTCACATCTTTAGAATGTTCTGTCTTGGATAATATCAAATGAAGTGTTTGCTCAAGCTGTCACATTCCTCTCTGCAGATGCTGCAGCTCCAGCACAGATTAGGGCTCATTCTGCTCCAACAAGAGCACCACAGTTCATGGGGTGCTGGATCAGCAGAACCACTGAATGCTGGCAGTGCTGCAGCACCAGGCCTGCCAGTGAGGAACCTGGCCAGAAAACTCACTTTACCTTCAGGTCTTCATCTCATGTTAGCACTACGAAGTCTGCAGAATCTCCAGAGCCTGAACGTTCATCTCCATCCCCCTGGAACAGCTGTTTTGCTCCACCTTTGGTCTCTGGACAGAGAGAGTTTAGACAAGATCAATATAGTGCAAGTAAAGCCAGGTTACTCAAGCACTGAGTAACTTTCAAGAACTGCAGTAGACCCTGAAACTGGCTTCTTACTCTAGTTTTCAGTTCAACCATAAGACAGTATAACAGCTGCAATAATAGCCCAGTAAACAGTGAAAGTGCCCAAACCTCTGTAGTTTCTGATCAGCCGCGCTAAGATGAGCCCCTCTGCACATGCCTGCTCACGCTCAGCCAGAGACCCAAACACTGCAACAAGAGAGGATCAGCCAAACTACTCAACATACAGACCAGCAACATACCAGAACCTCAGAGGGGAACTCACCATTAGAGACAAGCACAATCAGAAGAAATCCCACAATGACTCTCTGGGGAACCATACTGAAGACCAACAGCTACCCAGCCTAAAGAGAACCACTCTACACTGCAGTGCAGAAGGGTCTTTAAATAGCAGCAGTGATGGAGCTCAGGTGTGCACCTCACCTGGACATTGTTAAGAAGGTTGCCCGAAAGCTGATCTGAGACTCACAGTGCAAACTGCTGGACAATCAGTGGTTTCCTCAAAACATCTGAGACAACTGTACTGTTATTAAAGGAGCTGCAGTTCCCAGACAGGGAAGCCTAGTCCTGGACTTTATTCTCCTTTCAATCAAAAATAAACATGATTCAAAACCCTTTGTAATCCAGAACTTAAGCTTAAAGCCTGTCTGGGGAAAACTACCCTTAGGGCATATTGCTCAGTCACTGGCTTAACAGCAGTTTACTCTTAGTTTAACACAGGTTTGGCTAAACCAGTAACTTCAGAGGTTTAATATGTAGCTGTGGATTAATTCAAACCTGACTGCTCTTTCAAAATCAGCACAAACCTACCAGATCCATCACTAAACCAGATGAACAATCAAATTACATCATTAATCAGCCTGACTGAAACAACATGCATTGAGACACTTTACTATTTAAAGTAGTCAAAATAAATTAATAATTTTACATCAAAAGAAAGAGCTGTAGTTTATGTCAGGCAAATTGAACATACTATATTTGCCCCTAGGTGTGAGTGTGTGAATGTATGTGTCTGTCTGTCTGCCCTGCGATGGACTTGTGACCTGTCCAGGGTGTATCCTGCCTTCCACCCAATGACCCAAAAGGATAAGCGGCTTTGAAAATGTGTGTGTGTAGTTTGTTTATTCAGGTTAAAGGGCAATTTGGTCACAGCAAGTCAAGAATGTTGCATTCTATCTCCTTGAAAAATTTCAGCACCACATTTTGATCCATTGTTCTGCTTAAAGTCTGGCTCTTTGGGCCTCACTCTGGAACCTTCAGTTAGCATTGGGGTGGCCTATCCTGATGATCTGAACTCTTCAGCATGATAGAACTCAAAGACCACTGTCCAAATGTGTTCAGAAAAGGCCAGTATGGTTGCAAGTTTCCATTCCAACAAAGCAAAAACTAATTGTTTGAAGACCAACTGGTTAAACCAGTACAGGCAAGCATTTTGCCTGTGAAATGAAAACTTGCACCCTTCAGGGCATCCATAACAATGTTCACCAAGCATGGTTCTGGGATATACCACTCTGGAGAGTTCAGGTCCAACACACCTGGTTCTAATATTCAGACTCTCCTGGAGATCTTTACCTACATCAGGGGTGTTAGATTGGTGGGGCTCCAGGGCTAGGCACCCCTGCTGTAGGGTCTGGTTCCGACCGCAATCTAACAAAGGCTCCAGCTAATTAGCATCATATTACTAAATTGCAGAGTCAAATGAGTAAGTGTTGAGGACAGCTTTGCAGGGGCAGGATGGAACCAAACTCTGCAATAAAGTAGTCCTCTAGGACAAGGGATACATATGACCACTACCTGAGAATAAAAGTGAGAGCTAGACTGACAGCACAGTCTCTAGACAGCCCATCTAGCAGCCACTCTTTTGGGATTTGGTGAGAAGAAGTCAAAGCCACAGTAATTCAGGAAAACTAAAATTTATTCAGAGACAAAGATACATTTAGATGTTGATGTTTAGATGTAGCTGTTGGAGCCTCTGAGCTCATTCACACCACCACACCTACTCAGATGTGCCATCAACAGAGATCCTCACTCGCACAGCCATGTTCCCTGGAAGAGTCAGACAAAAACAAGAACATTTACGCAGAACTCCAGATAGAAGCAGCCTTTACTCAAGCAGAGATGTTCCTCACTGTAGATGCTGGAGCACCATCACAGATTAGTGTTCAAGAACAGCAGGAAAGCTCATGGAGCAATGGTTTAGCAAAACCACTGAACTCCTGTAGTGTTGCAGCTCCAGGCCTGGTAGTGGGGAACCCAGCCTGAAGTCTCACTTTTCCATTCATGTTTTCACCTACCGGTCAGCTCCACTGTGCCTGCAGAATCTCCAGACCCAGACCCTGACCCTTCATCCCCATTCCCCAGGTGAGGCAGAGCAGAAGATCTGTGGGTCTCTGGACAGAAACATTGTAAACAAAATCAACATGGTGCAGGTTCAGACAGGTTACCGAACACCACCTCTAATCCCAAGCATCCTCAACCTTTCCTCCAGGAAAAGTGTTCTTACTGCAGAAGTAACAGCTCATTATCTATGAGTACTGAGTAGCTTCTAGATTCTGAAGTTGGCTTACTTTACTTTTCTGTTCAACCTTGAATGGTACATCAGGTGCCCCGTTTAAGGGGAAAACAAGATTTGAGCAAGAAGCTGGGAACTAAACTAATCCAGTAACCTGTAAAAAGCTCATACCTTTATACTTTATCAGCTGTGATAAGAGAAGCCCCTCTGCACTTGCCTGCTCACGCTCAGCTGGAGACCCAAACACTGCAACAAGAGAAAGTCAGCCAAACTGTTCAACTTACAAACATACCAGAGACTCAGAGCTGAACTCACCATGAGAGAAAAGCGCAATCAAAAGAGAAACCACAAAAACTTGCTGAGAAACCATACTGAAGAACAACAGAAACCCAGCCTGTAGAGAACCATTCCACACTGCACTGCAGAAGGGGCATTAATCAGTAGCAGTGATGCGGCTCAGGTGTGAGTCTCACCTGGACATTGTTAAGAAGGTTGGTCCAAGAACTGAAAGCTGATCTGAGGCCTTGTTCAGATGTCCAGCCCAAATCTGATATTTGGCATGTTCAGATTGTTTCTAGATTGATTTTTGATATTCTAGACAGCAAAAAAAAAAAGCACACAATCTTTTTTTTTTGGATCTGATTTTTGCAAATCACCACGTTTGGGCTGTATTCAGACTGCAGGCAAATTGGATGTTTTTCAAATCGGATCTTTTGAGATAACTGTCTACACTGATATTCAGGAGTGATCAGATCTGATTTGTGTGTACAGACATCACCAGTCTATCTGCACAGGTTGCCGTGGTAATGATGTCTGTAACTACGTAGCTACGCTGGTGACGGGATTTCAGACACGGATGCAGGAGAGATGGAGGAGCATCATCTCGCCCACCGAACTCTTCAGACCTCTCTTCATCATCATCTTGGGAGCTCCTCTTGAATCCCAGCACTTCATCATTCTGGATTTGACATCGTCACTATTTGTCGTGTTGTGAGTGACGGAAAAGATACTTTGAAATCTGCTTTGAGTGTCCAGAGCGTCCAGACTGAGACGCATCTGTAAAAATCCAGATCAAAGTCACATTTCAAACCACCTCCGAATGTGGATTGGATCAGATTAGCAAAAATTTAGATTTCATGTTTTTTGCTGTCCAGATTATCAAAAATCAATCTGATATAATCTGAATATGCCATCAGATTTGGGCTGGATGTCTGAACAAGGCCTTAGACTCACAGTACCAACTGCTAGACAGTGAGTGGTTTTACCAAAACCCAAAGGTTACCAAAAGGTTCTCACATTTACGGCATTTTAGCAGATTACAATTTGATCATTTTACACAGGTAGGCGAAGGTAGTGTTAGGAGTCTTGCCCAAGGACTCTTATTGGTGTAGTGTAGGGTGCTTACCCAGGCGGGGATTGAACCCCAGTCCACAGTGTAGAAAGCAGAGGTGTTACCTACTACACTACACCAACCACAATGAACCTTTCCACCACAATGCCCACCTGTTTATTACTTCAAAGCACAGCATTTACCCAACTTCTTTACTTTGTAGTATACATGCCTCAAAAAATTGATTTGCCATCAATTAAAATAATGTAATATCAGAATTATGCAAATTCTTTGCATAACTAAGTGATTAAGATGTAATCAGAGAGGTTCAGAGTGGTTCAGATTGGTTTGGTGTGAAACACTCTGTTCTAGATAAACTTACCACGTCAGAACTGTTCACAGTGGTGGTGATAGGAACCAGACGTCCACCTCTAAAAGCTCCCTCACAGAAAGTTACTACATGAAATGGTTATGAATTCACTGCCTGATGACTGAGACTCTGTTTATGATAGTTTTGAGAAGATTTTGGCTTTAAACTCCATTCATGTTGGAGGGACACACAATATGCAGGGCGCTGTGAGGCAAAATAGTCCCCAAAGAAAACTTATTTCATATCCACTATTTTCTCATCATCAACATTCCATATAAATGCACTCCTCAACACTGGAAGATTTCAGATTATCTGGAGAACTCAGTGCTCCTGCTTGAGAACTCCGGTGAAGAAGCCTTCATTGTCCAGCAGGTGGTGCTGTGAGAGCTCAGCTCAGCTATGTGTGAAGCAGCCCTCTTAACAATGTCCAGGTGAGGCTCACACCTGAGCCGCATCACTGCTGCTATTTAACGCCCCTCCACAGGCTGGTGCTGGAGATCAGGCTGGGCTTCAGTTGAACTTCATGATGGTTCCTCACAGGTTCTTTGTGCTGTCTTTTCTGCTGGTGCTCATCTCTCATGGTGAGTTTCAGTCCTTGGCTGTTTTTCTGGCTGTGTGGCTGGTCTGTGTGTTGCTTGTGCTCAGTTTGATGGCTGTTCTCCTGCTGCAGCGTTCGGGTCTCCGGTTGAGCGGGAGCTGGTACGTGAGGACGGGCTCCTACTGGTCAGAGACTACAGAGGTTTGAGGATGTTTAGTGGATTATTACTGCAGTGGGGGTTACAGGGTTAACCAAGTGCTGATTTGGACCCTTTTAGGATGTTTTACCAGATTATAATCTGGATGTTTTACTGTCCTCCCCCGACATCTGATTTTTCATACATAAACCACTTTCATGACAAGTCTACAAGCTTCTCCTGGTTGGCTAGGTGCCCCATGTTGTTGCCCCCCCACCCCACGTAAACATTCACAACAGGGCTTTTTTTAAATTTTCCCTGCAGATTCGCCAGAAACTTTCCACAGATGTCCTGTTAATAAAATATCGACTATTTAAAGTGACTCACTCCTCAAACACAGCCCTGTGTTTTAATGGCTTGCTTTGCCAGACTTTCACACTGTCTGAATTGTTTGGGTCTAGATACCCATAATACCTTGGGGGAGAAGAAGCTGATGCTCTGGGATGGAGATGAAGGTTCTGGAGCTTCTGCAGGAGTGGTGGAGATGAAGGGCAGGTGAAAAGGTAAA